TGTACACCTAAACCCTGGTTATCTTAAAATCGCTACACTGCCGATACAGTGCTTTCAATGCAATCGTTGCACTGCGTAGCAGCCCCGACGCAATCGGGAATGATCGCAGATTCCACCCTGACCAATCAGCATCACCGAAAGCTGTCGGCGATACTGGTACGCCATCTGGTTTTCCTGGAGAATCGAATCTAACTATAGCCCATTGATAAAAATAGCAACATATCGCACCGTAATGAAACAAATTCAACCATGTAGATGTAATTATTTTGAAAATGATCCAACATCACCTTTCTTATTCAGAAAATGACAGCGTAAAATAGGCCTAGAGGTTATACACCCCTGACCCTCAACGCGCCCGGATCGTGCTTTTAAAATATAGCCCTGAAGCCGGGATTATTTTTGCTGTTCAAAATTGAGTACAATATTAGGACCTTGTTTATTCTTCTTATACTTTACATAAATAGTAACCTTCATTTTCTCGTTGCCGTAGAATCCGAGTTGATGATCTTTTGATCTGAGTCTGCTGAGATTCCTGTCCTTCAGATGGTTGTTTATCAAGTGCGTTTTAATAAGATTTGTGTGTGCCATTGTTTAATTGATCTAAACGCCACAATGTATTAAGCAATGTATAAATTTTAAGATCCATAAAACCATAAAGATGCAAAATATTTTGCGATTCATATTTAGGCCTACAAATCTTGATATGGTAGAATGTTCCAAAAAAAAAAAATTGGTTTGTCAACAAAATAAATTACAAAATAAAGAAAATAAATTGAGATTTAACACTCTAATTCCTGTGTTATTATTTATGCTTAGGTCCTGTGTTTATTATAGGTTAGGTACATCCATTTGCTGTAGTGTACTTCCAAGTAGGCCTATTATTTGGTGATCGTTTAGCCGAGTTCTGGACTATTTCATAAATTGTTTTTGGTTTGTAGTCAGTTTTTACTAAAAGGGAAAATTACAATACCGAAGCCACCCTATCACAGATATAACAATTGCACGGTCATGATGAATATTAGGTCTACACACATTATGTTTAAAGCACGAAAGTTTTAAAAATTCAACTACTGTAAGATAAAATGGATAACCCCGCATTTTCTTGAATCTTCTTATTTAGTCTTCAACTACAACAGCAGAGGCTTCGGTTATGATGTACGACGTGACGTTATTGTAGGCCTATATGTCATGTCATTGACTTTTGTACTTCAGTCTTTATCGAGTAACGGTATGACGTATATGTCGACTTATTGCTTTAGGCCTCTTCTGTTGAGCTGATAAACATAAATAATAAAATAAAATTGGTTCGTTTTATCCATGAAGTAGGCTATCAACTTTTGCTGAACATACCAACGATTTAAAGCAGACATATATAACATTAACTGATAATACAGTTTCTAATTTGCAGGCAATTCTGTTTGAGGCTAATTAATTTAGGCTTTTTTTAAATAAATTATTTGTATCAGCCAAAAACTGAATTTTCTCGATGTTATATTGGAAGCTTCTAATTTATTTTGATCTTTTCAATTGTTGTTTTTAATTAAATTTGTTTAAATATATTTAAACTAACATTTAATCACTGTTAGTGAGTAGTCAATATATACCGTATATACTGGTAATAATGCTTTAGACCTAGACCTAATTTCTTTCAATTGTTATTTTCATCTAAATTATCCGCCGATATCACATTTTGAACCATATGATTATATAAGAATGTAAATTTAATATATATTAGTTGAACTGTAGGAGACGTTTGTATTCTGAAAGGTACTCTTAGGTTTACTGTTCACATGGATGAATGAGATGACACAGGGATAGTTTGTTCCGATCTACTTATCTAACTACGCAATGTTGTCTAGTCTGTACCGCTATGTCCGATTTAAAATGTTATTGACTGATTTTCATCTTCATAATCACCATGGTAACACCATCAATTATAGTACCACTTATCCTCACAGCGCAATCTCTTCACATTACAGTACTGTTTAATAGTCTTCATGACGTCATCTATGTGACGCCATCAGTCACGAGCGCAGTGACGTATTATTACCTAGGGTTTCTATCATGTTGTTGAGTCTTGAGCCATGGAGGTATGCTT